TCCGATCTCCCCAAAACCCCAAAACCCCAAAACCCCGCTAAGCAATTACATCGAAGCTAATTCAGATCTAAAAATTAATAATATTCAATGAGTTTTAACAAACTTTTTGCCCGTACTATAAAAGCTTATAAAATTATCGAATAATTACAATGAAATCTTTTTATCTCTATTAAAGTTTTGCATTAGACCGTGAGCCATTTCATGATTAGGATGAAGTTCTATTGCTTTTTATAAATCTGTGTAAGCACTGTCTATTAGTCCTAGTTCAATACATGATCTTGCTCTATTGACATAATACTCAGGGTTCTTTTCGAAATAATCAATGGCCTAAATAATTTACACGAATTGATCTTACTCTTGAAAATTCTATATTGGCACCTTCATAATCTTTCTAATTAAAGCATTGAGCTCCTAAAGCGTAATGAGTTAAGGATAGTCTTGCTTTGATAAGTCTCTCTTCCCCACCTAAGTCCAAAGCATAATGGTAGTCTGATAAAGCTAAGTTGAATTTCTTTAGTTCTCTATAAGCATCTCCTCTATTGATATAGATTCCAGAATCAGTAGGCATAAAGTTAAGTGCTTCATTGAATATTGTGACAGCATCATGATACTTATGTTTCTAGAATAAACTCGAGCCCATATCATTATAAGTTAAGCCGATTTGTGTCTTCACCTCTATCTCTAATTTTTCTGCAAACATAAATTTGGAAGCCTTTTCTAAATCATTCAAAGCTTACTCATAGTCTCTCTACTACCTAAATAAACTTGCTCTTAATAATAGTAGTTTTGACATGTCATGAAACATCTCCAGTCCTTTTTTAATATTCTCAAAAGCCAATACTTTATTTCCTTCAAATACAAATTTAGTAGCTTTCTTATAGAACTCTTCAGCTCTTGGCTTCATTATGGAAAGAAATTCAACTATTTCATGATGATCTGGATCAACAGCATGCGCAGACCAGAACATTTCATTGCCCTCCTCAATTTTGTCAATACTCCACAGCAGTTTTCCTTTCAGGATCATAACTTCAACATTGTATGGATCTCTTTCAAGACACTTTTCTATTTCTTGAAAAGCTAGCTGCTTATTGCCAGCTCTAATGTAAGCTAATGCCCTATAAAATGAAGTTAGAGTCTTTGCTAAATTATCTTACTTAAGATAGATGAATTGAATATCATCTGAGTTGAGCTATGAAACGAGATTCAGAGCATCATTACAATAACCTTCCTCTATCAAAGTCAACCCTTTCATGAAAAATAACTGATTCAACTTTACTTCCCATTCTTGGACATGCTTAAGACTATTTGCATATTTAGAGGACTTAAACGAATTTCTTACGATATCGCCTTTTTAAAGTTTGATATGGCAGATGAGAAATCACATAGCTTTATATAAATTTCAGCTCTCTCTGCATATACTTCAGGGACTAAATATATTGATAAAATTTAATGGCATTACTGTTTTTATCGTAGAAGATAATCTTGCTAAATTCCACAAGAGCACCCTCGTAGTTATTAACCTCTATATAATCATTTGCTCTATGCAGTCTCTCCATAATCTTTTACTCTTTAACTTGAGAAAAGTCATATTTCTATATTATGAAGTTTAAGCAATAACAATATTTAAATTTACCCTAAAGACATCTGCTTGAGATTTATTCTAAGCTCGAGCGTTATTATGAAAACTTTGCTAACTCTTGCCTAGATCACCAACGCTACCCTCTGTGTACTAATCTAGATTCTCTAAATAATCATTTAATTTGCTCTAAGAAATATGAAGAGATTCTTACACTGTAGAGGAATGAGAGAGTTGTGCTCAGCACTTGAACTTTCCATTAAAGGGATTAAGTTTAGAAATTATTAAAAAAAGCAATGCAAATTTAATTATAATTAATATTGATAAGTTTATAATAAGATGTCCATCCTTTTGCGTTCAAGACTTGATGCCACCTCTGAGGATTATTTCAATGAGCTCTACCGTCAGTACGGTTGCATTCCAGACCATCATCAATAAGCTATTCTCCTTCGTAATGCCTATTTCACCAGATATATCTTGGAAAAGAACCCCGGAGACTTCAAAACTGCCATTGAAAAGGACTGGTCTTATGTTGCAAGAAGAGAATATAGATATGATGTGAATGTTAGAGCAGCTGTTGACGCCTTCGCAGTAGCTGATTGCGCCTGCATCGTCAGAATGTTCATGGTTAAAAAGTTCATTATCTGGCCATTCGTCCCTGTTTTCGCTTTTACATACCTTTACAGAGCCAGATCACTCTTCATTTTCCACAACAAGAAATTTTTCGATATGTGCAATGTTGGAGAGCAATACGAACTTGGTTATGCCAGAAATGTAGTATTGAGAAAATGCAATGAACTCTTGGACAGAGAAGATTTCTGAACAAGAATTGAGATGCGATAGACATTCCATCAATCAGTCATTGACTTTGTATTTGACTTATCATAGACTGAGAGATAATATTTAAACAATTTCTTAATAAGACTTAATGATTCATTAAGATTATTTATAAATTTCACTGGTTTTAGCAGTGGCATGCCTATTTCCGCCAAGGTAAAAATCTATGTCTGTTATCTTAACACCTAATGTTTTATTTACTCCTCTAGACCTATCAATCTCAAATCTTAGACAATGGGTCTATATGAATTCAGGATTATTGATATCATATTATAAGGGATCTATTTGAAACTAGTAGACTGATTCATCTTGTTGTATTACGCTTCTATCATTTATGTAATTTTGGATCTTGCTTAGATAGCCCATTATCTCCATGTAATCCTTACCACTCTGTAGGTGAAAAAGCTACAGTCTCTATTTGCTTCTAATCAGTACATCGAATACTTCAATTAACTTCTATTGCTCATTCTTCTTGCTATTAGTAGTGCTGAATATCTTGGCGACCAATCTTTAAAATAAATTTTTTTTCTTTAGAGTTTCAACACCTACACTACCATTTCTTAAACTCTAGATTGCTTATTAAGCCTCTGTTTGGTCTAAGTTATCCTATGATTGTGTTGGGATTTGCTCTTTCTTATGAATTTTGATGTATTTTTCATATAGATCAGGCGTGAATATCTTGGCAAACAAAAACATATCTGACTTTTCCTTTTCTTACTAGATGTATTGTTCAAGTGACATTATTTAGAGCTGCTCTTTAGGTACAAAGTCGGATTTGTAATTTTCAGAAACTTTTTTCAGATACTCATTTCCTTCCTATGACAACTTGACTGGGTCTATCTCAACTTGACTATCCTTTGATGCTTAAATCAACTCATCCATTTGCTTGCCTGTGTTTTGGAATATCTTCTCACTCTAATACAACTGCATCAATTTGTATTCATGTGCCATCACTACTCTGAAGTTCTTTTGAGTTTCTTTCATTAGGTAAGAAGACTTTTCAAACTTTTGTCGCTCTTCCACTCCTACAATATCAATCTCTCCTTTGGTTCCAGTTTCATTGTTTAATGCTTGACCTTCCTAGTAATACTTTTTCATTTAGTAAAATATATCCAGAATTTTTCTATCCATTGAGTCACGTTCTGTGTCTTCCATAGACCCCTTTTCAATGTAGTCAATCCAGTTGGGTTATTTCTAGATTAGTTTGTAATCTCTGAGAGAAGGATTCAACTCTCTATCAATACTCATATTCCCCACGTAAAAATGATTCAATATCTCAACATCAAACTCAATCTTATTGCTCTTACCTGCCTTAGACACCCCTCTTTTAATTTTTTTACTTGCACCTTCATCATCATTTGTGTTGTTGAGTATTCTGAACTGAATTCCCTTGTGCTTCTCAAGTTCATATATCTTGGCTGCTAACTCGATAGTCAAATTTTACTCGCAAAGGGAGTCAATGCCATCGTAGTTGTCATTAACTATGGCTCTAAGCAAGTCCTAGTAATGGCTTATAAACATAGTATTCAACTGCTTTCTTCTAAAGAACAACTTCAGTTTGCTTGAAGTCTATAGAGAGTTGAGTTAGACATAAATTATTTGCACATACAGTCAAGTACTATGAGTGATATTGGAAGTGATTGTTGTAGCCTAGATTAAAGGGGAAATCAATATTCCTCTGAGTAGCATCAAGACTGAAATAGTAATATCAGCGGCTGAAATTAATCATTGGCTGATTACTATTCGCTATAATTGCAGCATTTTTTGTGAGTTGAGTGTTCCTTTTTAAGGCTAGCATTAATTACTTTATTGATTGAGAGCTATTAAAATTAAATAATTCAACAATTACCTAATTCAAACTTAATAATAAATTTAAATTCAATATGAATACTTCTGCAAGTAAGAACTCTATTTATCTCACATTCATCTAATATTTATACAGTTTCAAGTGGACCAGCAAGCACAGACAGAATCAACAAGCTCTCAGAAAGACTTCACAATCTACAGGTAATTTTCATGTCTAATATCAAGCATACTCTAATTTATAATCAAAAGCATAATCTAATAATAATTGCTATAGAAAAACTTGCAAACAGAGAAGCAGACTTAGTTTGAAAAGTTAGAGCATCGTCTGAAGACTCTTCACTCAAGGTTCGGAGATAACTATGAAAACTCAAACAAGCGCTTTAACTTGCTTAAGGATCAACTTATCAAGATCGAGAACTAGATTGAAAGCCAGCAGTTGGCAAGAGAAGATCTTATGCAGGGAAAGCACAGCGAACTGGACAACTTGCAGGGCAAGATTGCTTCTTTGATTGCTGAAGAAATCAAAACCCGCGAGGACTCAGAATTCAAACTTCGTAAGCAAATCTAGGAAAAGGCTTTGCAGGTTCAACAAGAAATAATCAGAGAAGCTTAATCAGGGACTGAGATTGTTGGAACTCTTGAGAAATATTTGGAGGAGGACATTCCCTCACTGTATGAGAGTCTTAAGGTAGGGATTAATGAAAGAGAGTAAACTGAGGAGTTGCTGTTGAGGCAAGTCAGCGAGGAGTTCACTAATATTCACCAGGAGATTGTGGATGAAAAGAAGGCGAGAGAGGAGCAGGAAGAAGCCATGCTCGAAATGCTGAAGGAGATCATCAGCAAGGTAAAGGAGTAAATTACTATTGAGAGATTTGAGAGGGAGAGAACTGAAGAGACTCTGGTTAACTTGCTCGAAGAGACATGCAATAAACTTAACTCAGTGAGTACTGACTTCTGAAAGTATATAGTTGGAGATATAGATTAAACTTAAATAGAGATAATTAAATATTAATAATTAATTTAAATTAACATACTAATAAATTTAAGTGCAATGGAGGGGAGAAGATCAAATGATGGTAAGTTTTTATGTTAAATTCTAATAATTAGCCTTTTCCGTTAATTGAATGATAAAACTTGTAGATGATTTCTTTGAACTCAGACCTAAGTAGCTTCCAAATAGAGAAATTGAGGCTATAGATGAGGAAAACATCTCTTTCAAGAGCATTAGACCCAACCGCACATATGAGAGCATCAAGAAGAAATACTACCAGAATGAACGCAAGAGGAAGTTTGAGGAGTTTAAGAAGTAGAGAGAGGAAGAAGATGCTTAGAAGCTGGGAGTGGGAATGTACAATCACCGAAGCGGGGGCAAGAGACCTAAGTATGATGAAATCACCTAGAGCAAACCTAAATAGGATGCTAGTCTAAATATTAAGACTGAATCAGTTCATTCTGATCAGAAGCATCTAAATGCCAAAGGAGAGTTCTAAATAGGATATAGCTCAAGTGCAAGCAAGATCAAGCAGCAGTAATCACAAGGAAGCTAAGCACAACTCTCACAGACAATGCAAATGAATGAATTCTCCTAGATGAAAGAACAGATTAAGAACAATTCATAAAGCATGAGAAGCTCACAATAGAAGTCTGAAAGGATATCAGCCAAGGAAAAGCAGTAAATGCTGTCAAATTTGTATATACAGGAAATAAGAGAGACTGTAGATAGCTAATATCATAATGATTTCAAGAAATTACTTAAGGAAATGAGGGAAAACAGAGTTTTTGATCCTATTTTTTCCAATCAATCAATTATATAGGTTAGATATCATTTTTATTAACATTTATTTTCAGATGGTAAAGATATTCTTTAATACTGAAGTTGATGTAAGTTCTTTCTTATAAATACCTTCTAACATTAGATTGAGTTATTCGATAAGTGTCCCAATCCAAATGCTATTCATGCCATTTAAAATATGATGGATGAAGTTTAAAACTATGAAATGAGGAAAAGAGTCTCAATAGATACTGCTCAATACATTAATCGCATCTATCGGGAACGATACCTTGAGATCACTCGTTTGTTCTACAAGTTATATGAGGAAAAATATCCACCTTAAAAGGGGCTAGTTAAAATTCAGGCTTAGCAAATTAAAAAGTAAAGCATCACTGATCATTCCTTATAGAAATATTCAAGTGGTAAAGGAGGAGGGAGACTTTTTTGCTGACATTAATCCCAAGAAAGAGCAAGATGAGGAAGATGAGGAAATTCTATGCAGTATTTGCTATTTTAAAAAGTAAGTTTAACTACCCTTGACTTATTTAATAATACAGGGATCTCTATATATCAAAATGCAAGCATATCGCATGTCTAAACTGTTGGGAATAATGGCTTAGTAACACATTGGAATGTCCAACTTGCAGGGCCAGAACCAGAAAGAATTAGATATTCCCTCTCAACAAATAGGATGAATAGGAAATCAAGTAGATGATTAAAAGCAGTCAAAATGGTCATAATAAAAGCCAGTAATAGCAAGAATAGAATTGAATTAATTTAAATGAAGATGTGAAATTCAATATGAGATGGTAAGATTGTATAAATAATTGAAATAACAAATTGTTAATTTCTTAATCAGATATGCACTCTTTTCATAATCATAATGATTTAGGGGGTTTTGGGGTTTTGGGG